ACAGTTAAAACAAAGGAAATAAAACAGTGATAGGAGAGACACTAAGATTTTCTGCTCTTGTTTGTTATCCACTTGACACCTACAGTTTCAAGTGAAGAGTCCATTGTATTCTAAAAAGCACCATATAGGTCTGTGATTGTTTTTTTTTTAATTGCAACAAAACATGGTACAATAAATTGCCATGAATGGTAAATTAGTTCAACTTAGTGTCACCTGAAATTGCCACCTTATGGTAATGTAAGGTTGGTGCTAGAACAATGCAGAGCTACTTATATAGTATCCTGGCTCCTTTTAAACTGAGCATTTCTGGACATCAGAGTAACTATTTGTGACCATGTTAATTCTTGTTCATTTCTCCTACCTGACAGACCATGTGAAAAATCTAGAATGGCGAACTTCACTACAATAACAGGATTCATCCTTACAGGATTTTCAGACATTCAGGAGCTACAGACTTTATATGGAGTGTTCTTCCTGGTAATCTACCTAGCAATCCTCATGAGTAACTTCCTCATCATCACCCTCATCTCCCTGGATGTGAAGCTCCAAACACCTATGTACTTCTTCTTGAAGAATTTGTCCTTGTTTGATGTCTTGCTTGTGTCTGTCCCAATCCCAAATTTCTGTGTCAATAGTCTAACTCACAACAGTTACACCTCTGTTCTGGGTTGTGCCTTCCAGATACTTTTCATGACTTCTTTTTCAGCAGGCGAGATTCTTGTCCTGACTGCCATGTCCTATGACCGCTATGTGGCCATCTGTTGTCCCCTGCACTATGAGGTCATAATGAGCAGTGGAACCTGTCTATTGATGTTGGTTGTTTCTTGGATCACCGGGGTACTTTTTGGAACTGTATACACAGCAGGCACATTTTCCATGCATTTCTGTGGTTCCAAAGTGATCCCACAGTTTTTCTGTGATGTCCCCTCATTACTAAAGATTTCCTGCTCTGAAACACTTGGTATAATTTATACAAGTCTTGGAATTGGTATGTGTCTTTGCATGTCTTGTTTTATCAGTGTGGTCATTTCTTTCTTTTACATTTTCTCTACCGTATTGAAGATTCCTACCACAAAAGGTCAGTCCAAAGCATTTGCCACATGCATCCCCCACCTCACTGTTT